CTTCTCTTTCTCTCACCCCTCTATCTGTTTCTTCATCTCTCTCTCTCTCTCTCTCTCTCTCTCTCTCTCTCTCCAGGAGGCTGGTGTACCCTGCTCTGGTCACTCTCCTGGTGTCCACCCTCACTTTCCCCCCAGGATTTGGGCAGTTTATGGCTGGCCAGGTCTGATATTCTGTCCTCTGTGTTTTTCTGTTTGTCCTGCTGAACCTCGTCTCTGTGCTGTGAGTCAGCGACTGTTTAAGTGTGTCTATAAAGGCCTGGATCCACTGAGAGACACTCAGATGACCTGTTTTACATTATAAGAGACGTTTTTTATCTGTACTTAAAAGATTCACTATCCATCCAAAAGTCTGTCGACTCCAGAGTTTCTTCTGAACTGAAGAGTGTTAATAGTGAGTTTGTGCTGCAGTAACAGCCTCTACCTTTCCGACAAGGCTTTGCACTAGATGTTGAACATTGCTGTGAGGATTTGATTGAGCATTAGTGAGATCAGGTACTGATGATAGATGGTCAGTTCTGAATCACTCCAACTCATCCCAAAGGTATTGGATGGAGCTCCATCACTCCAGAGAACACAGTTCCACTGCCCCACGGCTCAGTGCTGGGGGGCTTTTTACCCCTCTCCAAAGTGTCCACTTTATTAAAAGCTCATCTCTTTTCATCTTCTTTTCTTACTTTAACGTTCTACACTCATTGTCCATTTTATCAGCTCCACTTACTATATAGGTGCACTTTGTAGTTCTACAGTTACAGACTGTAGTCCATCTGTTTCTCTGATACTTTGTTAGCCCCCTTTTACCCTGTTCTTCAGTGGTCAGGACCCCCATGGATCCTCACAGAGCAGGTACTATTTGGGTGGTGGATCATTCTCAGCACTGCAGTAACACTGACGTGGTGGTGGTGTGTTAGTGTGTGTTGTGCTGGTGCGAGTGGATCAGACACAGCAGTGCTGCTGGAGTTTTTAAACACCTCAGTGTCACTGCTGGACTGAGAATAGTCCACCAACCAAAAATATCCAGCCAACAGCGTCCTGTGACCACTGAAGAAGGACTAGAGGATGACCAACACAAACTGTGCAGCAGTAGATGAGCTATCATCTCTGACTACATCTACAAGGTGGACTGACAAGGTAGGAGGGTCTAATAGAGTGGACAGTGAGTGGACACAGTGTTTAAAAACTCCAGCAGCACTGCTGTGTCTGATCCACTCATACCAGCACAACACACACTAACACACCACCACCACATCAGTGTTACTGCAGTGCTGAGAATGATCCACCACCCAAATAGTACCTGCTCTGTGAGGGTCCATGGGGGTCTTGACCACTGAAGAACAGGGTAAAAGGGGGCTAACAAAGTATGCAGAGAAACAGATGGACTACAGTCTGTAACTGTAGAACTACAAAGTGCACCTATGTAGTAAGTGGAGCTGATAAAATGGACAATGAGCGTAGAAACAAGGAGGTGGTCATAATGTTATGCCTGACCGGTGTATGTCACTTGTTCTGAGTGAATCCAGGCCCTAACTCAGCCAGCACACTGACAGTTATTGATCACTCCATTTGTTCAGTGTGAGTTTTTGCTCATTGACCTTTGCTAAGATGAGGTTGAGCTGTAAATACAGAAGCTTGTATTGTTTCCTCTTAAGCTGACTCAACACGAGTCATTAGTGGCACTGTTTGATAACCGAACGTGGTACAAGCAAGGCGTGGCGGAGGAGTTTGAGTACGCCAGCCACCCTCAGGCCTGGAAGCACCCGCAGGTCAGCGTCTTCATCACCCTCCTCCTCTTCATCGTCATGAAGGTAAGTACACTCTCCTGCGTCGTATCCATAATAACCCTTTTTAAAGTAACAGTTGGGCCAAAAATCACATTTACACAATTTTCCCAAAGTTCAAGCAATGACATTGTTTTTCAGGGGTTCTTTAGTAAAGGCAGTGAGTCCATTTAGAACCATGAGAACCATTTCAGTATGTAAAGAACCATTTAAGCATGAACAAATAGTTCTATATAGCACAAAAAGGTTCGTCTATTGTTGCGATGTTAAGCTAATAACAATGGAAGAACGCTTTTTGGTGCTATGCAGAACGCTTTTCAAAAAGGTGCTTTATAGAACCAACGGCAGCACATTCTCCATCAGTCTGAAGAACGCTTTGACAATACAAAGAACCCTTTAATCATGCAAACAGTTATTGGAGCATTCATGGTTCTATATAGAACCATTTTCTTTACTAAAGCACCCTTAAAGAACTGTCATTCTGAAGAATCATTTCACCAGGCAAAGAACCATTTAAGCATGAAATGGTTCTATGTAGGAAAGAACCCTTGGAGAAGCTTCTTTTGTTAAGAATGTAGTTTTTCCATAAGCAACTGTCTTCAGGTTTATGCACCACACCAAATTTACACTTTGCTCTAAGTGGGTGTTGGTTTTGGGGAAACCAACAGGAACCGCATAACCCTTTCCAATGTAGAGCTAGTACCAAAGAAAAACTACGCAAGACAGCGGCTCAGTGATGGCGAACAGCTACACACCACAGAACACGTTCAATTCCAGCCGTCACTCCAACACCAGTCCCTTGACTTGGTGATCTCAGAGAGCTCATGTGCAAAATCAAAACAGTACTGAAGGCAGCGCTACCCTTGAGGCAGAACAAACGTAATTGGCTCAGAGAACAACCAATTAAAATAACCAGTAGGCGGGGCTTATCTTTAGAAACGTCTCTCTGTTCCTCAGTGCTGCTAATGTGGATGCAGCGCATTAAAAGGTGTGGAATTTAGTCTTTGTTGTCGTTTTTCAGGAAATTCTTTTTATATGGTGTTGGTTTCTCAGAAAGCTGCCTGGAAAACTAGCAGCTTCTAAAGCAGCGTCTTCTTTGACTGCTTTCTTGTTAGCCAGCAAAGTGATGCAAGTAGACTAGTAAGAATGCTGGCTATTAAACATGAGCGACGGCAGTTTCTTTACTAATACTGCGTTTACATGTTGGAACCAAAGACGTACCTCCTGCAACGATGGCGGCTTGCAGCCAGCAAACTTTGCTGTGGTCAAGCTCTCCGCGCCTAAATCACAACTGCTTAAACTTTAAGCGTATTACGGTGGAACATGCACACTGTGCGTTCATGGCTCCAGTTTAAATCCAATGTTTTTTGCAACAAACTAGTAATAAACGTAATAGTAATAATATGCTTTCAGTGTGACATGAATTATGAACACATCCCAGTACATATGGGCCTCTATATTAGACAAACCTTATAGTATCTTATAGTATGATCTCTTATTCCAACTTTCTCTGCTTAACCAATCACATTCATCCCCGCCTGTTAGCTGGTAACCAATTATGTTCATTCTACCTCAAAGGCAGTGCTGCCTTCAGAACCAAATTGAGTAGTGATTTCGCACACGAGCTCTCAGATATGGGTCTTTAACTTCTTAACCTCTTAGCATCAGTTAACTGGAGCCAAGCCTGTACTGTGGCGGGTGCCACCTTTAGCCTTATAACTAAACTGGCCTAGGCCAACAGACTACAGCTCAAAACACCACAGAACAGGTCCGATTTCGGCTTTTTCTCCCTCTGCTTCCAGTCACTTAAATTTGTTCTCAAAAACATGAGTTTTTATCATCTACACTTAACAGCAGAGCAGTTGGTTGGAATCGAGCTTGGATCGAGCTAAGCTAACTAGGAGATATGAGCCAGGTAGCAGGCTATGGATCTAAACACCACAGAACAGATTTGATTCTGAATTTCGGCTTTCTGCCACTGTATCACTAGGTGTTCAACTTCACTGCCTCAGTTTTGAGTCATTATCATCTAAACTTGCGTTAGTGTAGCTTCTGTTAGCCACAATCAAACCTGTTCTGTGGGGAGCAGAGCTATTAACATGCTACACTTATGCTAACCAGCTCCTCTCTCCTAGTTTGCAGCGCTGTTTAACATTTAACCATAGTTTATCATTTGTTATCAAACGATGGATTGAAAATTGTGAACTGCTGTTATTAACATTGTAAACGAACTGAAATGATTTGATCATTTTGAGTTCTAAAATATTGTAGGTTTAGCTAAGGTTTGCAAGCTTTCCATGTCAGCTCCAGTTCTGGGAGATGTTTAGAAACATCTAAACTGATGCTGTTGTTTGGTTGTTTGGCCAGAAACTGTTAGTAGCACATTAGCACATTTGGTTGTTGCATGGAAATATTACAGAATAAACAAACAAGCAGTGTCTATTTTTGGTTCAATGTTTTATTCAGTTAAGAATTAAAGACATAAACTTGTACGCATCGATCTGTTCTAGACTGGATATTTTGGTAATGCTTCATTTGGAGTGGTCTTTTGTAGATGATTAATAAACTCTTAACAGATTATCAGTAACACATCAAAAACATATCAGTGATGTATCAGTGGTGAAGCATCTGAATACACTGAAGTAGATATCTTGTAGATGTTCTGTTGATACATTACTTACATTAAGTAGATGTAATGTTAATATGTTACTTTCATTACGCAAAACCTAAACTTACCAACCTTACCCAACACCTAACCCTCACTCTGGCCCTAATCCTGATCCTAACCTTACCCTAAACCCAAAACTCAATCCTAACCCTCACCTTGGCCCTAATCCTAACCCTAAACCTAACTTCAAACCAAAACCTAATCCTAACCCTCACCCTGGCCCTAATCCTAACCCTAAACCTAACCTCAACCCAAATCCTAATCCTAACCCTCACCCTGGCCCTAATCCTAACCCTAAACCTAACCTCAACCCAAAACCTAATCCTAACCCTCACCCTGGCCCTAATCCTAACCCTAAACCTAACCTCAACCCAAATCCTAATCCTAACCTTCACCCTGGCCCTAATCCTAACCCTAAACCTAACCTCAACCCAAATCCTAATCCTAACCCTCACCCTGGCTCTAATCCTAACCCTAAACCTAACCTCAACCCAAATCCTAATCCTAACCCTCACCCTGGCCCTAATCCTAACCCTAAACCTAACCTCAACCCAAAACCTAACCCTAACCTTCACCCTGGCCCTAATCCTAACCCTAAACCTAACCTCAACCCAAAACCTAATCCTGACCCTCACCCTGGCCCTAATCCTAACCCTAAACCTAACCTCAACCCAAATCCTAATCCTAACCTTCACCCTGGCCCTAATCCTAACCCTAAACCTAACCTCAACCCAAAACCTAACCCTAACCTTCACCCTGGCCCTAATCCTAACCCTAAACCTAACCTCAACCCAAAACCTAATCCTGACCCTCACCCTGGCCCTAATCCTAACCCTAACTTTAACCTCAACCCAAAACCTAATCCTAATCCTAACCCTCACCTTAACCATAACCCAAAACTGGCGGTTACATAGGTTGGTTCTGAACAGTTTATCGTCCTGTTAAAGCGATGCAGTCGTTAGTCGTTAGTCGTTAAGGGTTTTTGATGCAACCAAATTTAGTAAAAAGATTGAAACTAATTAGTGTAACGAAAGATTCAGTAAATACAAAATACATACAAAATTCAGGATTTAAGTTGGCAGTGCTCCAGTGCAAAACTAAAGAAGCAGACTTCGGACACCAAACATGACTTGGCTCATTGTCTACAGTTGGGCAGAATTATGTAAAATTGATTTATGGTCGAACCTTTGCTTTAATGTCCTTATTAAAGATTAATGTGTTATCCATCACTGACTGTCTGAGACGTTCTTAACTGCTTGCAGTTTAGCATTCATAAATCTCTTTATATGGTTTTTAACCAGGCTATCTATTGGTGTAAATGTTTTATGAAGCCCTTGAAGCAAAAGTGTGCTACTTTTAACCTGAATGCATATTTATGCCGTGCTGCCAGTTACCCAACACCCTCGTTTTGATGAATGAGGCTGAATTTATTAAGGTTGTTAAACAATGTATCTTCTGAAGTGCCTATTAGAATATTGGGGCCTGCGTTTATATCCAAACACAGGTTTAAAACTTTATCAGTGTGGGTTTTCTGAACTGCCAAAGCTTCTAGTGAACCATTTCTTTTCTTAAAGCTGCTTATGAATTGATTTTGTCAAGATTATGTCCTCTATTTTGTGATATTTCAGCAATACTGAAAGAAATCCTGTTTTTGGTCATCACATTTTCTATTACGTTCATGAATCTTGCAGGCTATTCATGTGGAAACTTTCACTGTGGCTGGAGAACAGAGAGAAATACAGGGGGTTTACAAAAAGTCATGTCATCTATTTACTGAGCCAGATGTAACCAAAAAGGCATTTTGTTTAACTGACATCATTTTAAGTTTTAAAACGTATTACCCATGCATCTTTTTACCATGGCCTATATCTCACATCAGTCTGAACAGATCACACTCCTGAACTTTGTATGATGATTATTATGATAATGAGAGTCAATATGTTTTTGGGGCTTTTTTTACTGTTAATACAGTCACACAAAAAACAAATCAGTGAAGAAAAAGATCAGATTTGGGCCACTTTTACCTGCAGTGTGAACACAGACTAAATATGGCCTCAGTTATGAGAGAGTTTAATGTGACCAACAGTGTGTTAGTAGAGTAAAAAATATGCATGCAGTGTAAAAATACAAACTTTTTTCTTAAAAGAAGAGTTTGGGGAAAAATTTAATTCTCCCACTGGCAACTCGGGCCACTAATCGGGCCAAAAATAAGCATCTGTGGCCACAAAAATAGAAACCTGATTATTGTATATACATTGTATTTAGCATGCTAAATGCCAGAAACCAGTCCAGTGTTGCTTTGAAAAAAAGAAATGATTAAATACTTAAAAACATTGCTGTTGTAGTGACCGTGGTGTTGCAAAGAAAGTGCTGCCCTTCAACTAAAAAGGGCCAATTAGCTTGCTGGTTATGCCATGAACGGGAAAGCCCCCTCGTTGTCGAGATCTGCGCATGTGAAGTAGCAGAAAAACCCAAAAAACAATTGAGCCAAATGCTACAAACTATTTATGAGGTGTTTGTCGGATATTATCAGTGATTTTATGTATGTTTTTGAACAATAATTTGAGTATTTTGGTCTCTCCCCATTGAAAGAGAGAGGAGTCTGATCTTGTATGGCTGGAAATAACTGCCGGGCGGTGCTGCACAGATGGCCTTTGAATGTTTTGCAGTGAGAGAGTGCTCATAAACATCAAGTTGAAGTTCGTATAAATTTAATGAAATCCCGAGTAGCACAGCTATGTAAGTGTTGGCCCTATCATCAGGAGATCGAGAGTTTGACCCATTGTGCTACAGCCATCCTTGACCGGGTGTCCAAGAAAGCCTCGCTCTCTCTGTGATGCTAGCCAGCGCAGGCGTCTGTTAGCTGACATAACAGAACTGGTGGTCTGTGTTTCAACCTACGTTGCGTTAGCAGCTGTTTGAAAAGATGTGTTGGCGCTTCGCAAGTCTCGGAAGAAGCCTGTACTAGCTTTCGTCCTCCTAGTGCTGGTGATATTGTGTTATAGTGGTTGGTATAGTGTAGTGAGTAACACCTCTGCCTTCTACGCTGTAGACTGGGATTCAATTCCCCACCTGGGTAAGCACCCTACATTATACCAATAAGAGTCCTTGGACAAAACTCCTAACACTACCTTCACCTACCTGTGTAAAAATGACCAAACTGTAAGTTGCTCTGGATTAGAGCATCTGCCAAATGCCGTAAATGTGTGATTGGGAGGGTCCTAACTAGTGGGTGGAAATAAATACATCTAAATTGGGGAGAAAACTGGGGGAAAAAAATCATTATCATGTTTAGAATCAGTTCATTACCGCATCGCAAACTCGCTGTGGTACTTAAACAGAAACTAGGCTAGGAAAGTTAGCTGAGGTACTATTGGCATGAATCTGTTTATCTAAAAGACTGGCTGCCTTTTGCCGTGTAAATTTCAAGCCACGTGATCTACTGGGGCTTTCTGTGGTCTCCATATGGCTTCAGTTTAACACAGTAGTAATGATAAAGTGGTGCAGTGTGACGCTGAGAAATTGAGCAGTGTTTGAGTAGCTGAGCGCTGATGTGCATTGCCACCGAATGTACATATTATCATTAAAAGCAATGGTTCTGTTTATTTGGACGCTGTGCGACATGACATGTCCAGTGTGCAGTAGAATTCAGTGTAACACCAGCTTGGAGAGTCCACTTTAGATGCTTTGTAGATACTTTATTTACTTTCAAGTTATATTCAACTAAATATCTACTAAGTTGGCCATAATTGTCTTTAACTCTAAACCGGCTCTAATCCTAACCCTAACCTTAACCTCAACCCTAAACCTAAACCCAGCCCTCACCCTGGTCCTAGCCCTAACCCTGGCCCAAATCCTAACCCCAACCCCACCACTGTTTAGAATCAACAGATAGTTTATGAATTTGAACATCTGTAGATAATCTATAAGGGACTATAGTGGACTATCCAAATAAAGTGAGACTTATTATTTTATTTCATAGAGTGACCGTGGTGTTGCCCCTGCTACTGCAGTGACTCTCAAGGCCACCGCACACTGATCGCCTCACATAACAACACATTAGCTTGCTGGTTACACCATGAGCCTCATTGTCGAGATCTGCGCATGTGAAGTAGCAGAAAACCCCAAAAAACAATTGCGCCAAACGCAACAAACTATTTGAGGCGATTGTCAGATTTTATCATTGATTTTAAATGTTTACAAAAAAACTTTTTTCTTGTTTGATATTTGATGTTTTTGAACAGTAAGTTGAGTATTTTGGTCTCTCCCCATTGAAAGAGAGAGGAGTCTGGTCTTGTATGACTGGAAATAACTGCCCGGCGGCGTAAACTGACCTTCCTTTGAATGCTGTGCAGTAAGAGAGTGCTCATGAACATCACGTTGAAGTTATGTTTTACACTTTACTAGTATAAATTTAATGAAATAAAACATCGTTGACCTCAGATAGTTTGTTAACAATTTGAACATCTGTGGATAATCTACAGGGGACTATAGTGGACTCTCCAAATAAAGTGAGACTTATTATTTTATTCCTAGAGTGATATTAGCGAAGTCCAACTAATAGAGCAGCATCTGTGATCCCAGGCAGAACAGCTCAGCAGGAGGCCAGTCACGGTTACCACACTGGCACATTAGATAACGTAGTGGTTCAGTTAACAGGTTCTGACAGAATGCAGATGCATTGGATGCAGTTAGTCTGACTAAACAGGCAATTTCAGCAACCCACTGTGCAATTTTAGTGGCCAGAATGTGAAATGGTGTGGCCTGGGGCGACGGCCAGTAGGCAACTACACCTGCATACACACTATTCTCTGTTTTTAGAAACCACATAATCAAGTCTATTAGAGATCACTGAACAGCTCAAACACGGTGTGAGGCAAGTATATGATGACAGTGCTAACTGGTGGAGTATAAGCTTCCATTACTTGTTAGCCACATTGGCTTTGTAGCTAAAGCGCAGAACTAAAGGAGCAAACCTCAGACACCACACGTCTTGGCTGATCCACTACATTTGAGTTAAATGAGGAAACGTGTTATTTGAAGTTGTGACCTTAAACTATTACTAACCCTAGTAAACTCTGTCTTGTCCTTATTCTGTTAACCGAATCTGTTTCTGTTGATGGTCCCTCCTTTCCCCCCCAGTTCTGGATGTCAGCTGTGGCCACGACCATGCCAGTGCCGTGTGGAGCCTTTATGCCCGTCTTCCTCATTGGTATGTTATCTCAGTCTTTGTTCTTTAATTCATTCATGCACTGCGGTCAGTTCATGCATCTCATACATGCAGATCATACCGTCAGGACTTTTTGTTGATTAGTTTGGAGCAAAGGTGGGCTGATGAGCCCAAACCCATACTCAAAATAAAGTACTATTAGTGCAACGAAAGAATGACATTAAATTTGTTAAAAAAAATAAAAAAAACTTGGAAAAAAAGGTCTGAGGTCCAAAAACTCCTGGAGATTTCCTTTAGAACCGCAGCAGAAATTCTTAGGACATCTATCAGTAGAGGAACTGAAGTTTGTACGGTTCTTTTTGGATCCTTTTGGTCTGAAATAAAATGTTAAAGGTGCAGCTTGTAAGATTTAGTGGCATCTAGTGGTGAGGTGGGAGATTGCAACCAACTGAATCCCCCTCCCTCACTCCTCCCTTTCCAAGCATGTAGCAGAACCTACGGTGGCCGTCAGGTTTTCTGCCGTCGTCTGTCGCGATTTTGTTTTGTTTCTTCATGTTTTCTCTTCTTTGGCGGTGAGGATTCACCCTCCCTCACTTTTTCTTGTGCTAAATAATAAGTCTGATCCTCCGTTTGTCTAAATTTGGGTTGTCGAACTGCTCACAACACAAAATGGTCAGCCAACCGGCAGCGACCCTGGATTCTTCTCGTTTCTACGTCTTAAAACCAGAGCGACAACACCAGCAAATTCAAGCTGCTGCTTCAGCATAAAAACGCGAAAGGCGCCCTCTAGAGCCAGTGTTTGGTTTGTCCACTCCGGGCTATTGTAGAAACATGGTGGCGCAACATGACAGCCTCTGTTGGAAGAGGAGCCTCTTCCTATGTAGATATGAACGGCTCATTCTAAACGAACAAAAACACAATGATTCATAGTTACAGCTGATTATACACTAATAAAAACAATATTTCATTTCTGCGAATAGATCCCCCTAAATCTTACACACTGCACCTTTAAAGCTCCATAATGAGAGAAGCTGAACCAACACAGAGAAATTAAACCCCAAAAATGCAGCAGAGACTAAATATTTATGAGTAAAAAATAAATGGGGCTCGCTACTGCCCACCTTTGGTTTGGAGGTGTGTACATTACCGCCTGTGTTTCTGAGATCCGATCTTCATTTCATTCGTTTGTTCACCTGCATTCATACTTTTTTGTTTATTTAACGTTTGTGTTTCTCCTCCCCCCCACGCCCCCTCCCCTCTTCATCGCCAAACATCCTCACTGTCTGACTGACTAAAGACTGTGACTAACTGACTGGTGTTACTTGGCGAAAACACTGCAGCTTTGTTGAGTCCAGAATCATCTGCATGTCTGTGCCCACATGTGAGTATCCTTCATGGGAATTTTGTTTGTTAGCCTTACAAAATTTCTACGTGTGTATTTGTATTTTATTACCTTTTAATTTCACTTATTTATTTTACTTTGGATTCTGTTTGTTTTAGCAATATTGTTCACTTATGTGCCTTTTGTGACGGCTGTTGACAAAATAATTTTACTGTATCTACGCTATACGGTCCAAAAGTTTTCGGTAGGCCTGTAACAATGAGTGTGTATACATGCACTTAATAATCCGATTGCTAAAGAAAATCAGATTTTGTCAGCAATCTGATCAACGCATTTGAGTAATCAGATAATGGGGAAACTTCAGGTCTATATGAGTCAGACAGTAATCAGATTTCTGATTTGCAACCAGCCAATAAACTGACAGAAGAAGACGTGACGTAAATGTAACAAACTCAAACTTCATGCTGCAGCTATTTTTAAACATCTGGTCAATTTACCTAAAAATATGAATATATATCATCTGCAAGATGGAGAACTTTTAAATCCTTTATTTCATCAAGCATACATTTGGTTTCACACAAGCATATATTTGGTTTCTTACAATTCGCTTATTTCCAGTACTGCCATCTGTTTTCAAACATGCATAGACTGAGGAACCCGAAAGAAATCAGAGTAAGAGTTTACACTGAGAAATCTGATTACTGAGCATCCAGCATCTTTATCGGATTACTTAATCAGATTCACTTTATCGGACCTTACTCCGATCTAAGAAATCAGAGTACGAGTTTAGATGCACTGAGAAATCTGATTACTGAGCTAAAATCCAGCCTCTTTATTGGATTTCTTAATCAGATTTACTTTATTGGACCTTACTCCGATCTATCAGATTTCTGAATCAGATTTCTAGACCTTTCTCTGATCTAAGAAATCAGAGTGTGCTGTTTACATGACCATTTGAATAATCAGATAACTGCAGAAATCCGATCATGATATGTAAATGCACTCATTTACTGCATAATCGCCTGATTGCAATTATTTGAGCTGATCACAAGTTGTTAACTTTTACACAGCTTGTATAATCTTGATAGAAAAGCATTGAACAATAAAATGCTCAATGCCACTATGCTCAATGCCAAGCGTGGGCTAGACGGGTATAAAGCCCCTCACCATTGGGCTGTGGAGCAGTGGAGCTGAGTTCTCTGGACTGATGGAGCTCCATCCAATACCTTTGAGATGAGTTGAAGTGATCCAGAACTGACCATCCAACATCAGTGCCTGACCTCGCTAATGCTCAATCAAATCCTCACAGCAATGTTCAACATCTAGAAGCCTTCCAGAAGAGTAGAGGCTGTTACTGCAGCACAAACTCACCATTAACACCTTCATTTCAGAAGAAACGCTGAATGAGCTATTTATTATAGCTGTTTATGCTCAGTCTGTTATGGTTATTTAGATTGCTGTCAGTATTGTGTCGTTTGCAGTGACTGTGTGTGTGCATGTGTATTTATGTGTGTGTTGAACAGGTGCTGCATTCGGCCGATTGGTCGGTGAAAGCATGGCGGCTGTCTTCCCTGAAGGCATTCACACCGACAGCACCGTATATCCCATAGTTCCCGGTGGCTATGCTGTCGTAGGTGAGAGACGTGCATTGCACACTGCAGATCAAAAGTTTGGAATCATTTGCCATATTAATCAGTTTTGTTTAGGGACGCTTTATGTATTGGCGAGACAAAACATTATGACCGCTCACAGATGAAGTGATTAACGTTGATTATCTTTTAGCTTCGGTGCATGTCAGGGTCAGATATTACCCAGTTAGCGAACAGTCGGTTCTCATAGTTGGATGTGGAGAAATGTCCAGGCGTGAAGACCTGAGCCACTTTTACCAAGGGCCAGACAACTCCGAAACGGAGAGGCTTGTGGGGTTCTCCCGGTTAGCAGTGGTGAGCACCAGGGGTGTAACGGTTCAGAAACTGAAACTGCAATACAAACGTTCACGTTCTTATATCATCCCAATAAACCCCCCCACAGCCCGCCGCTGCAGCCTGTTGAGCTCTTGTTACATTACTAAGATTATAACATGTAAATCATGAAATTATTATTCTGTTTAAAGTTAGAAGCTGTATACCAGGTTCTTTAGTGTTCTTCTCTTTAGCGTTTCAAATTGTTGGAGATTTAAAAACAGATATTTTGTCCCAGTTTTTTGTTATTCACCCCCCCCCAAAAAAAGGGGTGTGAACCAAACCATGCTTTAAAAACTGTGATTTGGAGAATCATTACACCCCTAGTGAGTACCTACTGACAGCGGTCTGATGAGGGACAAACCATGAACCGGTGGCTCATTGATGCGTGAGGGCAACGAAGGCTATCCCAGCTGGTCTGAACCGACGGAAGGGCTACTGTGGCTCAAGTCACAAAACATTTTAACGATGGCTACAGGAGAAATCACACCACACAGTGCATCACATCCCGCTGTGTAGCCGCAGACCGGTCAGAGTGCCCATGCTGACCCCTGTCCACCGTCAAAAGCACCTGCAATGGGCACACAGGAGTCAGACCTGGACCTTGGAGCAATGAAAGAAGGCCCCCTGGTCTGATGAGTCCTTATTCTTTTACATCATGTGTATGACTGGGTATGTGTGAGCCGTTTACCTGGGGAAGTGATGGCACCAGGATGCACTGTGGGAAAAGACAAGTGTCCGGTGGAGTGAGTGTCAGGCTGTAGGCAGTGTACTGCTGGGAAACTCTGGGTTCGGCATTCATGTGAACGTCAGTTTGGCACGTGCCACCTACCCTAAACATCATTGTGAACCAGGTGCACCCCATCATGTTCCCCAAAAGGACTACTTCATGGCTCACAGTGTGTCTCACCCTGCTGCGTACGGGCTGCGTAGACCAGTCAGAGCACTCACGCTGACCCGTTTATCATCAAAAGTGCCTGCAACGGACATGTGAGTGTCAGAATTGGTCCTTGGAGCAAAGAAAGAAGGTTGGCTGGTCTGATGAGTCCCGTTTTCTTTTACATCAGATGTCAGTTTGATACACGGCACCTACCTAAATATTGTTGTGGGGTAGGTACACACCTTAATGGAGATGGTGTTCCCTGATGGCCTCTTTCAGCAGGATAACGACCTGCCACACTGCGCACATTGTTCAGAAATGGTTTGAGGAACATGACAAAGAGTTCAAGGCGTTGCCCTGGCCTCCAAATTCCCCACATCTCAATCCAGTTGAGCACATGAAGGGTGTGTGAGAACAATAAGCCTGATCTGCGCCAGCCACTCGTAATATTTCGAGAAGAAAGTCGTAATATTTTGACAAAAAAAGTCGTAATATTTAGAGAAAAAAAAGTCGCAGAATTACGACACTTAAGTGGCATTAATACCAGGAAGGGTCGCAATATTGTGGCCAAAGTCTTTGCAAAGGGAAGCAGCACCTCCTCGTGTTAAATGAGGAGCGGTGAGTTGGTGGAGCTCTACTTTCATATCGATTCACCCATAAAGAAACACTCAGTCTCCCTGTCTCTCCTGCACATCAGCACCAGCCTGTTATTAGGGTAAGAACCGGCTGAAACGGCTGAGCAGGAAACTGTGTTTATCTAGAATAAAGAGCCAGACGGACTCGGAGGAAACTGTGTTTATCTAGAATAAAGAGCCAGACGGACTCGGAGGAAACTGTCTGTCTGTGTTGTTGAAGGAGAATCTCAGGCAGGGTCGTCTACACGGCTATCGGGGCTACATTTCCATACCATTCAAAGAGGGCATGAAGTTTCACAGACAGTGAGAATGATGATCAAAATGATCCACAGAGAGACAGGAGTGAGTGGAGCTCCGGCGCCAGTACAGCAACCGAGACCCCTACACGTTATGGCAGCCCCCCCACAATAGTGCGACCTTTTTTTTCTCGTAATATTACGACTTTATTTTCGAAGTGTCCTATTTTTATTTTTATTAACAGTGGCCCTAAAACGCCGTCAGAGCAGTGTGTGAATTTTATGCTTAAACACTCTTTTGTTAACTTACTATGTATAATTAGTATTTACTATATATAATTAGTAATAAAAACAATATTGAACATTTTTATTGTGCAAAATAGTCAAAAACAGAACTGAACAATATAGAGAGAAACCTCCGGTTCATACACATAATCACACGACAGCTTCTTTGGCTAAAAACTGTACTAAATGTTGCTTCCAAGCGTCTCTGAGTGTCAGACTCTGCTGGAGTTTAGTAAATGTTAGTCATTTACACCGTCAGTAGAAGCTGTTGAGCCACGGATTCTAGTATTGATGTGAGATGCGAGTCCAGCTGTCTGATAAGCTGACCGACAGAGGCGCACTGCAGGCAGGGCTGGTGGTCACAGAAGCAGCAAGCGGGAGAAAAGATGTCTGACTCTGCCAGACAATATCTGGATTATTGGTTGCAGCCCGCTGAACCTAAAGCCTTAGAAAGAATTCCAACTGGTATATCATGCACTGCCACTGCCCTCCCACCAAATACAGGCGTTAGAGATTTTGCAGTGAGCATCTGTACTGCTGTCTCAAGTGTGACATAATCCCACATCACTGTGTGAAAACGATACTCTGTTTAAGTGCCAGTATCGGTGTTGAGACCAATATAAGGCTGGTATCGGTGCAGCTCTACTTACAACCAATGACTTTAGTTAGTTAGATTATAGATTATATAGCTGGGTCATTCTACAGAAACGTCCACTTTTCTATCTCTCCATAGGAGTCACTGGTGTTACTGATCCTCACCGGTGTTCCACATAATAAAGGAAACACCAGAGACATTTTTAATGAACAATGCATTTTACAAAACGACTACAGAGCATCAAACCACATGTTGTCAATCATGGAAAATCCACTAAAATATGTAATTTAATCCATTTGTGTTCTATTTTTTCACAGTTACTCAAGAATAAAGTCGGTCACACCAGTGACTTCAGCTAAAAGCTTCATATGAAATCATGAGCTAAATGAGAAAATCTCTGATAACTGAAAGACACAGTGGACTCACCATGAGCTTTTCTTCATAGATCCTCAGAGAACAGGCAAAATGAAGTCGAGTGATGTCATCAGTGTGACTTTTATTTCAAAATAAGAGATTTTTTGTTGTGCACTAACACCAGTGACACGAATCCTGGGGACAACAACTTTCATTATATATTTTATAATATTTATTTGGCATTTGTTTTCTTTATGTCATTAAATTTATATATTCCGCAGTCATGTGCAGATTATTGTAGTTAAAACGGAAGAAAAACATGTTTTTTTTCTTCAAAATATGGCCTCAGCCTTTACACGACTGTGAGGACAAGCTCTTCTGTGGCGCTTTGAATTCTAGATAATTGATTTAAAAACCAATATTGCTAAATTGAGGCTCAAGAAGGTGAAATTGTTAATAATTTATTGTTTTATTTTAAAAATATAAATAAATTGTAACCCTAAGATGTTTTTTCTGTAAATGCTAGGGACACAAAAATGTTTCTGTAGAATGATCCATTTATTAATTCGGTTATATTGAATTGTTTACAATAGATCTTATCAAATTACATCCTTTGAAATTAATTAATTTTATTCTTTTTAATTCCTTCATTCTTTGTTGTATTTCTTGGTATTTAATAATCATCCACAGCTCAATACATCATTCTGCATCAATCTAAAAAGTGTTTTTATTTTTATCTTGTCACTTATCTAATGATTTAAAATGTGAGGAAGTTAATAGGACTGACTTTGAATCGTGTGAATCTGCAGCCAGGTTGTTTTCCACTCTTTCGAACGGTGTTGTACGTCCATTTGTTGTCGTTCAAAACCTTTCAGTTTGGACCTGTTGCGGCTGTGTTTTATTCACACCAGCATAATCGAACCTGCAGGGTGTGTTGTGTGCGGAGTCATACATTTTTCATTAACCCCCACCGCACAGCAGCCAAATTAGATCAGGGCCATGGAAATGGCTCCGGCAGTAATGCAGTGGAGTGGAACGCTTGTCAGGAGCCCAACAGGAGATGAAATAGCTGGAGGCTAGCTCCGAGTCAGGAGCCGACTTTACAGTAGGCAACCGCCCAGGGCCAAGGGCCCCATAAAAACACCAATAAAATATATGTACTGTTATTAAATAATCTATACCAAAATATAAATCATGACAAATAGCTGTTATAGTCGTCATTTTCAGCGCTGTCAGTGCTCAGTGTGAAGGCAGGCAGGTACGATGGAGCGAGCAATAAAGCATTGAGAGAGAAGGTTCTTACAAGTTATTCTGTGCTGTGCAGTATTAAATGTAGCTGTCAGGTCTCATAGTTTAGACTGTTTGCTTCAGCCTCACAGCTGCGAATATAAATCTCATGATTTTTCATACTTTCAAGACGAACATTAGATTTGAAAAATGAGAGTTCTCTCTCTCACGCAAAAAGAATAAACAAAAAATGTAGTTTTATTAGCCAATACTGATCCCGCAAAGCCCAGAGTGTGCTGATTATGTACACCGATCAGGCAGAACATTATGACCACCTCCTTGTTTCTGCACTCATTGTCCATTTTATCAGCTCCACTTACTATATAGGGGCACTTTGTAGTTCTACAGTTACAGACTGTAGTCCATCTGTTTCTCTGATACTTTGTTAGCCCCCTTTTACCCTGTTCTTCAGTGGTCAGGACCCCCATGGACCCTCACAGTGCAGGTACTATTTGGGTGGTGGATCATTCTCAGCACTGCAGTAACACTGACGTGGTGGTGGTGTGTTAGTGTGTGTTGTGCTGGTGTGAGTGGATCAGACACAGCAGTGCTGCTGGAGTTTTTAAACACTGTGTCCACTCACTGTCCACTCTATTAGACACTCCTACCTTCTACCAGAGACGATAGCTCATCTGCTGCTGCACAGTTTGTGTTGGTCATCCTCTAGTCTTTCATTAGTGGTCACAGGATGCTGCCCACAGGACGCTGTTGGCTGGATATTTTTGGTTGGTGGACTATTCTCAGTCCAGCAGTGACACTGAGGTGTTTAAAAACTCCAGCAGCACAGATGGGGGGGCCATCCTATCCACCCAGAGAGCAAGGTCAATTGTGCTCTCTTGGACTCCCGGCCACGGACGTCTGTAGCATCACCAGGGATCAAACTAGCAGGACTAACGCTTAGACGGATTCACCACTCAGGAGCCCCGATTTGCTAAAAATTTTTTAAACACTTGGTTCAGTGTTTTATTTTTCTTCAATTTTGCTCCTCTGAGTGGATTAAACTAAATAACTGAAATAAAAGTTCATACAAATTCAAAATGTATCTCGACGTTTACGGTCCGTGGTAGAATACAACACAGCTGACATAAGAAACCAATGAAGATTTTCTTAAGAAAATAATTAGATTATCTTAAGAGAATATTTGAGAACTTTTTTCTGAGAAGTTTTTCTGAGAATTACATTTAAGAACATTCTTACGAACTTCTTAGTGTTTGTCTTAAGAACAATCACAAGTTTTTTCTTAAGAAAGCTTTCGTGAATCCGGCCCCTGATGAGTTAGAGCAAACAAATAGGCGCCACATTTTAAAAATACTATCAAAAACTATGAATCCAATCACTATCCAACATTTCTCACACTGTGCTGCACTAAATCCAATGAAACAGAACTAATTATCCTCTCCTTTTAATCAAACATGCAGTTGGAAAGTGTTTTTTTTAAATACTGACAATATCCACAGAAATATGCTCAGAAAAAACTCTGACATATCATGATATAATTTATCACAAAAATGATAAATATTGTTATATTGCCCAGCTCTACACTCTCAAAAAAGATGGTTCTTCAAAGGTTCTTTAGTAAAGAAAATGGTCCTGTTTAGAACCATGAACACTCAAAAAACCCTTTGCATGATTAAAGGTTCTTTGTATCATGAAAGGGTTCTTCAGACTGATAGTGTGCTGTAGATGATTTGATATAGAAGCTTTTTGAAAATGGTTACATAGCACTAAAAAGGGTTCTTCTATTGTTATGATGTCAGGCAATAGAAGAACCCTTTTCAAAAAGGTTCTATATAGAACTATCTATAGCACATTCGTGCACATTTTCCATCAATCTGAAGAAACATTTCACCACCAAAAGAGCCATTTAATCATGCAAAGGGTGCTTTGAGCGTTCATGGTTCTATATAGAACCATTTTCTTTACTAAAGAACCCTTGAAGATCTGTCTTTTTTCAGGGTGTAGATTAACGGTTAAATGTCTTACATCACGGGTGCACATCTCCGGTCCTGGAGGGCCGGTGTCCAGCACAGTTTGGAGGTTTCCCTGCTCAAGCACACCCACTTAACCAGGCAGTTAACAGATGAGTGTGATCAGGTGTGTTGGAGCCGGTAAATCACCAAACTGCGTTGGACACCGGCCCTCCAGGACCAGAGCTGTGCACCCCTGGTTTACATCCCTAGTTCACACATGCAAAAGGCTCATTTGATTGGACTGAGAAGTCAAAACGTGTAAGTTTGTGAGTAAAAGGCAGAAGCAGGAGGACAGTAATACCTTTGGGATGGTGTGCGATACAGAAACAGCAGGAAGCCGCACTGCCTCCTGGTCCTGCACTGTAATTTGATGTGGTTTTACAATTGAACAGTATGTGTGTGTGTGACTCCCTCAGGGGCTGCGGCACTCTCCGGAGCGGTCACTCACACAGTGTCCACCGCCGTCATCGTGTTTGAGCTGACCGGGCAGATTTCACACATCCTGCCTGTGATGATTGCCGTTATTCTGGCCAACGCCGTGGCCCAGAGCCTGCAGCCCTCGCTCTACGACTCCATCATCAGAATACAGAAGCTTCCGTATCTGCCCGAACTGGGCTGGGGGCAGGAGTGAGTAGATCCTATATACTTCCTTTGGCTCTCTGTCCATCTCTCTGTCTGTTTGGCTCTCTGTCCATGTGGTGTCGCCTCTAATTCTTACTGGAGGTCATAGTAGGCGGAGTCTGAGGGTAGGCTGGGTGTCACTGAACACTGGAAATTTCTTTATCATGATGAAAAATGAACACGTGAACCTTGGGATCCAGTGAGCGAACTTGGGTTCACTACACGACTTGTTGTTTTCTCTGCTGTTTGCGCTGAAACAGTAAAGAAGCAGCAGTAAACGTGTTTAAGTGACGATCATGGATTTAAAAATGTGATCAGTTTGGTATTTTTTAGAGTTACAAATCTACATAAACTCGATTGTGCCTTAAACTCAGCTCATTAGAAAGCTTTGCTCCACGTGAGAGACTTTTTGCCATTTTTCTTTGTTTACTTGCTGTGTTTTTTTTCGTTCGTGCTCTCAGTTTTCATTGGCTGTTGCAGGAATCCGTTCAGATTGAGTCGTTGATCAGTTTACACTAGATCACGCTGAGAGTCGGGTCAAAAAAATCATACGTTTGATAAACTCTGACTGATCTGAAACGCGATCGGGAGGCCAAAAAATCCACATTTCCTGCACTTTCTATTAGTCCAAGTCTGAATATATAAGATATGCATTGTGACAGTGTGATATTGCAGTGCATTCTTTGTGGAGAACAGACATTCAGTATTTTTCCCATCTAATGCATTTGCACTGTTGAACACCAAAGTTCACCAATCAGCACCTCGCTTCGGCACTCCTCCTGCCTCCCAGCTCTGGTGTTGTTAGTAAGTTGTCCGACAACATGATTATAGTCATTTTGTTCAAAATATCATGAGAATACAGAATCATGAACCCAGTCTTGAGAATCTAATTGAATCGTGGGCTGAGTGTACCATTACATCTAAATGTATATAAATATTTAATTTGCTCTTTCATGGGCCAAACTGGTATTTTAGATTTGTAAATTGAAAAGTTTATGGCCTGTTTAAATAACTTGAATCAAAAGAAATGCTCTATTGAAAATAAGCAGGAATTTAGCTAAATAAATAAAGTACAATGTTTTGGTGCAGAAAACAGAATTATTTATAGCTGACAATTCTATCTATCTGTCTTTCTATCTGTCTGTCTCTCTGTCTGTCTGTCTATCTATCTATCTATCTACCTATTTTTCTATTTAACCCCTTAAAATGCTAGTCTCATTACATACTACACTGCAAAAAATGAAATGATCTTAAATCTAGTCGATATATCTAATATTTCCCATTTTGAGATGGTTGTGCACTTATTATAAGATTTTCTAGCTTATTTCCAGAACTTTTTTACTTGTTTTTAGGTGATTTTATTAAGTTTATTTCACTGTACTGGCAAGTAATTTTGCAGGTTTCAAGCTCATTTCTTAAAATAATTAAAATGATCTGCCAATGTCGTGAGAATTTTCCTTAACAAAATTACTAAAAACAAGTAAAAATGTATAGAAATAACGCAAGTAATCTTAAGCTTACCACAATCTCAACAGGAGAAATATTAGATTTTTCACCTAGATTTGAGATAATTTTACTTGACAAGAACTATTCAGTAACTACAGGGACTTCAGTGCAAACTGGCTGAGCTATTCTTAGATTATATAAGTGTGTAATAACACTTTGGGCCCGCCGGCAGGTACTGGACTTTTAAGGGGTTAAGTTGGCAAAATGGTGTAATTATGGATAAAACACTGACTGCTTGTGTTACACTGTTGCTTTTACAGCTCTTCTTCCTACATTTCTGCTCTGTTTTTCTGGCTAATTTAAAACAGATGTTTGTTATTTGATTATTGAAGTTAAAACATCAGTTACAGATGATGCTGTTACCTTACATGAGTGTAAAGCAACAACACAGTGCAGTGCATCTTTACCTGCAACATTAGAAGTGCCAGTGTTCATATCAGTGAAGGACAATATCTGTTGCACCCTCAGCACTAAACTCAAACTCCAGCTATTGTTTACACCGATCAGGCATAACATTATGACCACCTACTTTGTTAGCCCCCTTTACCCTGTTCTTCAGTGGTCAGGACCCCCATGGACCCTCACAGAGCAGGTACTATTTGGGTGGTGGATCATTCTCAGCACTGCAGTAACACTGACGTGGTGGTGGTGTGTTAATGTGTGTTGTGCTGGTACGAGTGGATTACACACAGCAGTGCTGCTGGAGTTTTTAAACACTGTGTCCACTCACTGTCCACTCTATTACACACTCCTACCTTGTCAGTCCACCTTGTAGATGTAAAGTCAGAGACGATAGCTCATCTGCTGCTGCACAGTTTGTGTTGGTCATCCTCTAGTCCTTCATCAGTGGTCACAGGACGCTGCCCACAGGACGCTGTTGGCTGGATGTTTTTGGTTGGTGGACTATTCTCAGTCCAGAAGTGACACTGAGGTGTTTAAAAACTCCAGCAGCACTGCTGTGTCTGATCCACTCAGACCAGCACAACACACACTAACACACCACCACCACATCTGTGTTACTGCAGTGCTGAGAATGATCCACCGCCCAAATAGTACCTGCTCTGTGAGGGTCCATGGGGGTCCTGACCACTGAAGAACAGGGTAAAAGGGGGCTAACAAAGTATTAGAGAAACAGATGGACTACAGTCTGTAACTGTAGAACTACAAAGTGCACCTATATAGGAAGTGGAGCTGATAAAATGGACAATGAGCCTAGAAACAAGGAGGTGGTCATGATGTTATGCCTGATCGGTGTATAGTATACAGTGTGTAGTATGTTTACGTAGTGCCTAAGTTGACTATACTCAAGTACACTCAGGACGTCCAACATGCATGCTTAGAATTACTGAATCTTTGAGTACAGTGTGTTTTTATCACTCCCAGCTCACATTTTTCATACACAGGAAGTATAATATCCGTGTGGAGGACATCATGGTGAGAGATGTGCGCTTCATCACGCTGTCCTCCACTTATCGAGACCTGCAGGAGGCTCTGCTGGCCGGGCACCTCAAAACTCTGGCCCTGGTGGAGTCTAGAGGTGAGATATCAGCTGTAATCTGTGTACTTACGTTCTGACTAGTACGCTTAGCTAGTGCACTGCACTCTGGACACCACTGCTAACGTGTCCCTAACTGTTCACACACCAACATCGAGAACGTCAGAATCCAGTTCATGCAGAAAGGCAGAAAACTTCCAGTGTGCAATACTAATGTTTCTTTGTCAGAAGTGTATTAACTGTTATTATAACCACCATATTTACACGTATGATCATCTGTTTCAGTGCTGAACACCCTCCCTCCTGATTACAGTGGTGCCTGCACAGACTCTCACTACAACTATGCAGGCTTTGACATTGTTCACCTGCCTCACTGAGTCTTTACATATTCACACTAACATGTCATGACAGACAGCGCTGATCTTCAGTAATCAGTTTCTCACTGTCACTCTGATAGGCCTCTAACAGTGGTCATCGTTTATCATTAATTAATATAAAAACGTCTGTCATTGATTATCATTAGTTCATATAAATACTTCAATCATCAATTGTTATTGGTTCATTTAAATGCTTCAATCATTTGTTATCATTTGTGTAAATGCTTCAATCATTGTTTATCATTGGATAGTTTAAATACTTCAATCATTGTTTATCACTGGCTAGTTTAAATACTTCAATCATTGGTTATAATTGGTTAGTTTAAATACTTCAATCATTGGTTGTCATTGGTTAGTTTAAATACTTCAATCATTGGTTATAATTGGTTAGTTTAAATACTTCAATCATTGGTTATAATTGGTTAGTTTAAATACTTCAATCATTGGTTGTCATTGATTAGTTTAAATACTTCAATCATTGGTTATAATTGGTTAGTTTAAATACTTCAATCATTGTTTATCATTGGCTAGTTTAAATACTTCAATGATTTGTTGTCATTGGCTAGTTTAAATACTTCAATCATTGGTTATCATTGATTAGTTTAAATACTTCAATCTTTGGTTATAATTGGTTAGTTTAAATACTTCAATCATTGGTTATCATTGATTAATCTAAATACTTCTGTCATTTTTTATCATTAGTTGATATAAATACTTCTGTCATCGGTTATCACTGATTAATCTGAATACTTCTGTCCAATGACAGGCTCAGTTCTTTTCTTCATTCCCTCTCACTATTTCATTTTCAGTGTCAATTTTTTATTCTTCAATTTTCATTATTCATATCGCTCTTGTTGTGTTACTGTTTTGGAGGATGGGTTCCCCTTTTGAGTCTTGGTTCCTCTCATGGTTTCTTCCTGGTGTTCTCGGGGAGTTTTTCCCATTTGGTGCTGAGACCCTGATTTCTGTGAAGCTTTCTGTAAAAGCCAGCTGTAAAAAGCGCTAAGCTAATGAATTTGAAATGGGGGGCTAAATAGGTCAAACCTCTGGTTTCTGAATGGGCTGAGGCCTCTAGACGAGGCTTCCACCGCAGCAGGAGGATATTAACTCACTTGGTGTAACATTTCAATCAGCCAATTCATCACGAAATGTTCTCACAGTGTAACTGATATATGATATGTATTGAGTGATGATATGTAACTGTACACTACGTCTCTCTGCTGTGTATCTTGTCCGTTTTACCGTCTGGCTGTAGAGTCCATGATCCTGCTGGGCTCCATCGAACGTTCCCAGCTGCAGTCCTTGCTCTCAGAGCAGCTGGGCCGGGCCCGCAGGCTGGAATACCTGCGAGAACGTGCTCAGGACAACGGCACCCACGTCCCGTCCTTCTCCCAGGATTCCTCGCCCAAGGCCAGCCGCGGCGTCCGCTTCCTGGTAAGCCATGGCGCGAGGGTTTGGTTTAGTGCTGGGCGCTGATTAAAGCAGAATAGAGGATACAATGGTGATGGACAAGCTTCCGAAAGCTGGTTTGGGCTCTGTAGGAAAAGGTGCTGAAAGATGCTGATGTACTGATAGTTTGGCAAAAACTGCTAAAAGTAATGGAAGCTTATACCCCACCAGTTAGCACTGTGCTGACTGCTCACCTCAATCCTCACTCAGTTGCCTCAAACCGTGTGGAGAACACAAAGTTAACACCAGAGAAAACCAGCTATGTATTTACGTTAGGAGATACACTAGTTATCTACCAAGTTTACAGTAGATATCTCTCTCCAGATTTCCACTGAGGAGTCCTCCTACAGCCCGACTCTGACCAACTCTCAGATTCCCCTCAAATCTGCTCTCAAGACAGTGTCTTCAATCAGCAACACGGAGACCCTGAACAGTGCGTACAAACAGAGCTCCACACACTTCACCACAGCCCTCACCTCACTCCAACACTTCCTCACGCGCTCTCTGTTCTCTACCGTCTGTCTGCTGCAGGCTCTCCGAGTGTGTCCTGTGGGGAACCAGCGAAGGAGCAGGAGGAGGTAAGAAGGTCCGCTAGGTGAGGCAGGGATTGTACACCAGTACACCTGAGGGCTGCACAGTATACTGTCTGTTATAGAGTTATAGAGCAGTGACGTCTCAGAAAGGCTGTAAAATCTGAGCCCTCTAACCAATCAGTGCTGTTTACACTGCACAAAAATGATCTCTTAGCAAGTGAAAAAAATCTTAAATCTAAACAATATATGTAATTTTTCTCATTGTGAGATTGTTGTAAGATTATGATATTATTAAACTTGTTTCTAGACATTTTTTTTACTTGTTTGAGTAGTTTTATCTTATGAAAGTGTTTTATTCCATTGGCAGATCATTTTACTGGTTTCAAGCACGATTTCTTTAAATGAGCAAAATGATCTGCATTATTTCTCAAACTAAATGAAATGATCTGCCAAAGGAAGAAGACACTTTTATTAGATAAAATTACTTAAAACAAGTCATAAATGTCTAGAAATAGGCTAAATAATCTTATAATATACCTACATCAATCTCATAATGAGAAATATCAGACATACTGACTACATTTAAGATGTTTTCACTTCCTAAGACGCCATGTTTTGCAGTGTATTTGCGTCCTGACCACTCACAGCTCCAGATGAGTTTCCGTGGGTCATGAAATCGAACAAAACAATATTACTGATTCATCAGTCTGTATTATTTATAGCACACTGTACAGCCCTAGTGCACCTGTGCACCCTGTTATGTTTGGTTCTATAGGTTCTCCAGGTGTTCGTATCCTGAATATTGATCTTTTTCTTTATCCCATTATTTCTTCCTTTGCTCCTAAGTTATGTCGGCCTTACTCCAAATGACTTTTCAAGCGATTTCTCTGTCGCAGACAAATTGTGGAATAAAAATCGTGAGAGTCTTCCTAGAGTTGCATCGCGCTCGCATCGTCTCGATCGTTTAGTGTGAGGTGGTCAGGACGGCGGTCTTAACTCAGTCTTTTTCTCGTCCTGACACTACGACAAAATCAGCCATGTTTAATGTTATGATAAGTTTTCGCTCATGCAGATAGTGACGTGACAGGGGCTACATGAGAGTGAGGGGGTGAGTGCATGTGCCTCATGTGATAGAGAGAGAGAGAGAGGGATAGTGCGAGAGAGAGAGAGAGAGAGGGATAGTGCGAGAGAGAGAGAGAGAGAGAGAGAGAGAGTGCAAGGGAGAAAATGCATGCTTGAGTGCCTGACATCTCTGTAAAAAGGCAAATCTACAGAAGTCCAGAGAGGCCATAAGGTAGTGTTAATTTTCTGGATTGTTATCTTGAGATAACACGTTAATTATCTTATCTTAAGATAACAAAGTTGTTATTTTGAAACAACACGTTAGTTATCTTGTTATCTTGAGATAACGGTTATCTTGAAATAATGAGTTAGTTATCTTGTTATCTTGAAATAACGAGTTGGTTATCCTGTTATCTCGAGATAACAGTTGTTATCTTGAGATAATGGGTTAATTATCTTGTGATCTCAAGATAATTAACTCATTAGCGCATCTTCCCATTTGTACCACTACAGAGTGGAGAACAAAAAAGATTTATCTTCTTGTAAAGTTTCACCAGGTGCATGATGGGAAATAATCTCAAAAATTGCAGTCTTGCAAATAGTGACACTGCAAGATCCCCAGTCTTTACAAAATCACAGTCTGTGACTAAAATCTCTGTGACAGTGTTTTTAGGTGTGAGAGGGAGTCAGACTTCAGTCTTCTGAGTCTTCTAGTGTACGGCCAGCATTACGGTGCCCATTCCTCCGCTTAGCATCCACAGGTTAAATGTTGGGGTTACCTGCTAACTGTGACTGTTAACCCAAACACTTCTTTACAGGAGTTATGGAGACTGCGAGGAACTTGAGGCGTGTTGTGGAAAAGACAGTTCAGCATCAAATCAAACAGACACCTTTTCCCGTTAACCTAAGTGTAGTTGATCAGCCAAGACACGAATAAAAATACACAGCTAAAACAGCAGCAGCAGCTATTTTCAAGCCTGTACCTTTGTTTTTACAGACAGCAGCGTCTCACGCAGAGTGAGAAACCACACAATCAAGTCTGTTAGACATTATTTAACAACTCCACACTGTTTGAGGCAAGTGTGTGATGAAAGTGCTAATTGGTGTTGTATAGGTTTCCATTATTAGTTAGTCCCCGTAGCTCCAGTGGAAAACACCTAATATGTCTTGGCCAATCCACTACATTTGTGATTAGGGCTGGGCAATATGACAATATACATTGTTATTGTGATAAATTATGTCACAATATAAAACAAAACACTGAACATATCGTGGATATCGGCAGTACGTGTACACTGCAAAAAATAACATATAGGCATATTATAAGATTATTTAGACTATTTCTAGACATATTTTACTTGTTTAAAGTGATTTTATGCAGTAAAAGTGTCTTATTCCATTGGCAGATCATTTTACTGATAATGCAGATAATTGTGCTTATTTGAAGAAATCATGCTTGAAACCAGTAAAATGATCTGCCAGTGGAATAAGACACTTTCAAAAGATAAAATTACTCAAAACAAGTAAAAAATGTCTAGAAATAAGTTAAATAATCTTATAATATCCATACAACAATCTCATAATGAGAAATATTACATATATTGGCTAGATTTATAATTTTTTCACTTGCTAAGAGATCATTGTTTACAGTGTAAACACTGACCAACTGCAAAATTAGTCCCGTTTAACTGGATTTAGTGCCAAATATTGAACAAAATCATTATGTTCATAGTTTTTGACAGATAAATATCATGACTTTTCATGTATTGTGAAAACAGGTATCGCAATATTGTATTTTGGCCATATCGCCCACCTCTATGTGTGAAAAGGGGGAAAACTGATTTTTTGCTGAGCTATTGCTTTAGCGCTGTGTTTACTTTGTGTTAGAATAGCATTGATGTTTCTGTCCTCGTCCCTGGAGAAGAGTGGTGGACGGCTCTGTCCGCTCTATGTCACAGATCACGGTCAGGGAGCGTTTTTGCGCTAACGTTGCAGTAACGCTGTGTGCTCCTCCCCTTTTCTTTATCTGTCCTCTTCTGGAAGAGCAACGCTGGCTCCGTGGCTCCTAAGAGGAGCAGGAGGCCCAAGCGTGTGAGGATAACTATGGCGGTAAGAGCGCTGCCAGAAATCAGCTCCAGCCTCCTGCTGGATCTCCAAAGGAGCCGGAAACCTTCCACAGCCAAACGGGCCTTGATAGCACAAAGACCCTGCTGGCTCGCTCTTCCGTGTCGTACACTGAAAAAAAATGATGCACTGAATGTGCTTGATTTAAATGTTTACATTCTGTAAATATACAAAAATATATATATATATATATTGCATTGCATAAACAAAATTTCTTCCAAAACTAGGAAAACTATATTCATGTAATATATTTTACTCACGTTTAATTCAAGTAAATTCAGTTCATCACTTTTTCCAGTCTGTAAGCTCTGCACACAGCGAATCATCTCACCTGCTCATACCACAGTATGAATTAATGTATTCATTTATTCATACGGTATGAATCTGTCAGTACACGTTAAAATAAAGCTGCCAAAACAATTCTATGGGGTGATACTACTGAAGAACCACTTTTGGTTCCCTAACAAACCTTTTTGAGGGACCTTTTTAAAGTCTAACCCTCTGGGGTCTGCGGTCATTCTCTCGATTTGTTCATATCTTCTTAAACTCTCCTTTAAAGGCTCTTCATACAACATGATCCTCATATGATTCATCTCAAAATGCTCCGTTATCTTCATCACTACTTTCCAAAACTCCTGCAGCAGCTTCAGCAGCTGTAAACTCTCTGCATTTCACATGAGTCTCGATGAGGACTGAATGAAGAATGAAGGGTTTCCGGCCTGATGGTCAGTCCTTAGTGATTTCCTGAGTCTCCATTGGTCAGTTTCACACAGAATGTAGATGGACACACGAATCCAGCAGTTCCACACGGTGAGAGGCAGATGACGTGTATCTCAGCCCCTCTTCATAGGCTCATAACTCTGGACGTGAGTCGCGTATGATCTCATGATAAGATGGAATGGAAAGGGCGACTCTACAGATTGAGGAAGTGTTTGAACTGGATTTCTGCGCTGGATCATCACAAAGATACAGACACAGATATAGAAACAGAGAATTTGAGCAGTGGGTGAGTTTGTGGACTCCAGAGGGTTAAAGAATGTAATAATGCAAGTATCAATTAAAAGTTCTACTATAACCTTAATGTTACACGGAGGTTCTTTAAACTTTAAAAAGGTTCTTCACACTCACATCAAAGAACCGATCAGTGAAAGGTTCTTTTGGGAACCAAAGGAAGTTTGGTAACACTTTACTGTAGGGTGCTGTTTATAAGGCTACATCACACCTACATAAGCTTGTCATGACAGCTGACATAACCCTACATCAGGGGTCGCAACCCGAATGGTAAGAAGAGCCATTTTGTCCATTCAATAAAAACCAAACCACTTTTAAAAATATAACATAAACACAGACTTACTTTGCTCTGCTTTAAGCTTTAGCTCAGCTGTAGCCTCTTTTCTCGCATCTCCAGCAGGAAACTTTTCCACAAAAGAAGAACAGTTTCTTGTAAAACGTCTCTCACTGTTCGACTTTTTACGAGGCAGAAGTCGCTTCTCCTTCGCCAGCTTCTTGTTCGAATTTTCCCGTTCCACCTTAAATGGTGCCAGAATGTAACTGCTGCAACATTTAAGGTGGAACGGGAGAATCTGAACAAGAAGCTGGTAAATGAGAAACTGAGTTCAGCTTCGTGACTTTTTAGTGTTTGTCAGTTTCTCACTGCAGATTAAACGTATCAGGAAACCAGCTGTAGTGATTATAAACGCAAATAAGTCAATTCAGCTCCAAATTATTGATGTTCAATTTAAATCTCTCTCTTTGCCGGTTCGTTAGCTGCTAGATAAGCGAGATTCTTGTCTGCATTGCTATGGTGACCAGCAGTCTGCGCCAGTCTTCAGGGTTAAAGTGTGAATTAGCAGTTCTACATTAACTCCAGAGTTTAAGACCATTTATTGTTAAACTGTGTTGAACGATCAGCAGAGCTTTATTTTACTGTAAAGGAGGATTATTTTATTTTTACCTACAAATCTAATTCTGCTGTGGAGCCACAACAGGGCAGGAAAAGAGCCGCATGTTGTCGAGCCCTGGCCTATAAATGTTTATAAATGCTTATTGTCATAAAGTCAACTTTAGCTAACTGATCAAAATTGGCAAATGTAACCTTTACAGTGAATGACGGCATTTATAAACATTTATGTAGGGTTATGTCAGCTGTCTTTACAAGCGTATGTAGCCTTATGAACAGAACCCTACAGCAAAGTGTTACCAGAGGTTCTTCCATGGCATCGCTCTAAAACGCTTGGCACCTTTATATTTGAGAGTGTCGTCCTTCATGGGCTTCATAACAGGCCTTATGTATGTTGTTATGATGCCTACCACAGCTTTGCATGAGACGAGAGGAAGTCCAGAAGTTGTGCTCGTGATCTCGCAGGCGGACGTCTCGATGCTCCACACTGAAATTTGAGATATGATGCCTTTTAAATCGCGCTGCATAATTGAATTGAGTTCAGTTGAACCTGAAACCTCAATCTCTCCTCACTATATTGAGAGTCTTTAGAAGTAATGAGGCTGTTCACTCTGTAGCTCTTTATTGCTTCCGTAATGGCACGCGGCCTCCTTCATTCTCCTTCAGGCTGTGCTTAATGTGTTGCTAAAGCTCGCTAATGTTCAGTAGTGGCTTCTGTGGGTTGGATTAGTATGTGTTGTGAGGAAGTAAGCAGAATGCATGCTGGTTTGTGAAGAAGACTGTGTTATTCAGTGTGTTTTACAGATGTGTGATGTTTTTGTGTTTTCAGGATGGTCCTGATGTTGAAGATGACATGTCGACAGCAGAGGTGAGGTTCCACAACAATTTTGGGCATAGTTGGAGGAATGGAATTCCACAACGGAGGAATTTCACCTCCGCATTTAACCCATCCGTGCAGTGAAACACCCACATACACACTAGTGAACACACACACTAGGGGGCAGTGAGCACACTCACCTGGAGCGGTGGGCAGCCCTATCCACAGCGCCCGGGGAGCAGTTGGGGGTAAGGTGCCTCGCTCAAGGACACTTCAGTCATTTACTGTTGGCTCAAGGGATCGAACTGGCGACCTTCTGGTCACAGGGCTGGTTCCCTAACCTCCAGCCCACGACTGCCCCCATGAATGTTTCATATTGTCATTGATGCGAGACTGACTCACTTTAAAAGAGGCTTTGTTTATCAGATTTCATTGTTGCGATAATACGATTTATATATCCGTATGAGCACTGTGTGAGATACCCGCCTGGTATTCGGGGGTCCCGTGTTGTCTGGCTGCTCACTGTCTCTCCATAGTGGCGCTGATGCTTCAATGTCAGTGAATGTTTGTTTTATCAGTTGTTCTTCTGTAAAGCCTGTGTTCCAGTGTGGTTCTGCGCTCTTCCTCACATTAACTGAGATCTTCCTCGTCTCCTCTTCTGTCTTCAGTGTGAGAAATGAGGAACAGTCACTCTTCACTCCAAACTCTTGGGAAACTGGGCGAGTTTTCAGATTTACAGATCTGCTGCAGCTCATTGTAAAGTTTTTCAGAGGAATCCGGGCAGAGTTACAGTTTCTAGGCTATAAAGGACCAACTGGGTGAACCAGTCTGCTGCAGCGCCACCCTGAGGCAGAGCAGTGCTGCAGCTCCAATTAGTTAAGAACACCAGAGACAGAAGCTGATTGTGGGTGAAGCAGATGAACGATGAGCTTCGCTGAATCTGGATTTAAGCATTTATTTTTCCAAAACGAACATCATAACATTTATTTTCAGGGACCCCCCGGAATTTTAATTGTGAGACATTTGGGGGCGCCAAGAGGTTAATTAGGGGGTCCCAGACCCCCCAGGACCCCCCGTTTTTTGCACCCTGCATATGACCTCGCCTGCCCCACCCGCCCCACAGTGCTTCCCCAGCAAACAACCACACATTACACCCAGATATAGAAAAAAGCAGCAAACGCAAGAGTTCAAGATGTAAAGAATGTAGCAGGGGTGCACTTACTGGTTTTATGGCCCCACAGATTTGGACAGGTTGACCATGTGTCATGTATCTCTTTACCTCAGATAGCCGAGTGGGAGGAGCAACAGCTGGATGAATCTGTCAATTTCAACAACTGTAAGATAGACCCCGCCCCCTTCCAGCTTGTGGAGCGCACATCTTTACACAAAGTAAGCCTCACTTCTCTTTTCTTACATTTCTGCCTTTTCATATGAAAGCCTGTATATAATCAGGGAGAAGGACTCACTTCAAAGAGGCTTGTTAGCTTTGAACTTGGTCTCCTTAAAGGCGCTGAGAAGCATTTTGTTAGACTGGTTAGTTAAAAAGTGCCTGATTTGAATTCATGCTGAACAGCTACTCAGACTTATGTGGAGCTGATCTGTGTGTGGATTTGCTTTGTTTGAATTTCGGTGCAGATCTCTTTAACTGTGCTTCTCCTCTGTTGTTATTTTATACGTTGATCACAGACACACACTATTTTCTCCCTGCTCGGTCTGGATCATGCCTACGTGACGAGTACCGGGAGGCTTGTCGGAGTGGTCTCTTTGAAAGAGGTGTGTTTAGTTTTATCAATTTGCTTGCTGAAAATTTTGATTTCCACTTACAGAATGTGCTTATGAACCACTTTATTACAAACCGCTACTCTGTGCTCCCACTCACTGGCCACTTCATCAGCAGAAACTGAGCATTGATGAAGGACACAAACTGTACACCAGCAAAGTGGAGCAACAGGAGAGGGGTTTCTGATAAAGTGGCCAGGCTTCAGGCATCACATAATCAGCTTATATTTTGTGTTGCTTCCTTCATGTTGTAAATAATCTGTTGGGTTGGTGCCTCTGGATACAACATTTCACATTTTGAACAGTAAATGCATTGTTCAGGAGAGCGGCCAGTGCATTTTTAAAAACTGTCCATGCCTGGTCACCTTGTTAATTCAGCCAGTGTGTAACACTAAACATGTGGTTTGTAACATTATAGGGTTAGCATTAGACAGTGTATAACACTAAACATGCAATATGTAACATTATAAGGTTAGCATTAGCCAGTGTATAATAATAAACATGCGGTTTGTAACATTATAGGGTTAGCATTAGCCAGTGTATAACACTAAACATGCGGTTTGTAACATTATAGGGTTAGCATTAGCCAGTGTATAATAATAAACATGCGGTTTGTAACATTATAGGGTTAGCATTAGCCAGTGTATAACACTAAACATGCGGTTTGTAACATTATACGGTTAGCATTAGCCAGTGTATAACACTAAACATGTGGTTTGTAACATTATAGGGTTAGCATTAGCTAGTGTATAACACTAAACATGTGGTTTGCAACATTATAGGGTTAGCATTAGCCAGTGTATAACACTAAACATGCGGTTTGTAACACTATAGGGTTAGCATTAGCCAGTGTATAATACTAAACATGCGATTTGTAACATTATAGGGTTAGCATTAGCCAGTGTATAGTAATAAATGTGCAGTTTGTAATATTATGTGGTTAATATTAGCCAGTGTATAATAATAAATGTGTCGTTTGTAATATTATGTGGTTAATATTAGCCAGTGTATAATAATAAACGTGTCGTTTGTAATATTATGTGGTTAATATTAGCCAGTGTATAATAATAAACGTGCAGTTTGTAATATTATGTGGTTAATATTAGCCAGTGTATAATAATAAACGTGTCGTTTGTAATATTATGTGGTTAATATTAGCCAGTGTATAATAATAAACGTGCAGTTTGTAATATTATGTGGTTATTATTAGCCAGTGTATAATAATAAACGTGTCGTTTGTAATATTATGTGGTTATTATTAGCCAGTGTATAATAATAAACGTGTCGTTTGTAATATTATGTGGTTATTATTAGCCAGTGTATAATAATGAACGTGTCGTTTGTAATATTATGTGGTTAATATTAGCCAGTGTATAATAATAAACGTGTCGTTTGTAATATTATGTGGTTAATATTAGCCAGTGTATAATAATAAACGTGCAGTTTGTAATATTATGTGGTTAATATTAGCCAGTGTAGAATAATAAACACCCAGTTTAAATATTACTACATGAGAAACACATTTATCCCTCCGTTTCCACTAAAAATAGGCCTGATGGGACGGATGTGTTTCTCTCCTTTGTTTGTGCCTGCAGCTGCGGAAGGCCATCGAAGGCTCTGTGACAGTAACGGGAGTGAAGGTCCGCCCTCCGCTGGCCAGTTTCCGTGACAGCGGCACCAGCAGCAGCGTTTCCGAGGTTACCGAGCTCCACAAGCTCTGGAGTCGTCACAAGAGCCTGTCGTTGCCGCGGGAACCAAACCTCCCGGACCTGGGGGACCAGTTGGAGCAGCCGTCCGAGGGCAGCCTGGTGAACGAGACGGACTGCACTGAGCTGTCCAGTCAGAACAGCCCATTACACACGGAGGACCAATCAGAGATCACCTACGCTGATGCCACGCCCTCAGAGGAGCACCAGTCAGAGCTGCCCTGCGACAGTGACTCCACCCACCACCTTGAGGACTTCTCAGAAACGGCCAGCGAAGATGGCTTGGTCCAAAACGACGAACTTGCTTGTGAGGGTAGTCCCTCAATCGCTGGTGACCAGCCAGAATGACGGCTGGCTTTTTATTGGTAATGCACACTCCATATATTCTGATAAGCAGCTTTTTGTGAATTCAGGGTGAAGAGGCCATGTGGAAGGAGCTTATCGTCTCTGTCATAACAAAACCTTGCATCTCCTTTTCTTTCTTTTTTTTTATTTATTTATTTTTTTTACACCTTTTGAAAATGCCAGCTGCCCTTTACATTGCGTGAGGCCTGTGCTTGGTGACCGTTAACCCAGTTACCGTGGTAACAGCTCCCAGTGATGGTAAAAACTCACCATCAGTCATTTACTGATTTATTTCAAGCACAGTAAAGCAGCAGTAAAACCCACACATGAACATCACTCAACTGCTAAACCTGTTGGGTGATCTCCTACACACTTAAAAATGATGGTTCTTCAAAGGTTCTTTAATAAAGAAAATGGTTCTATATAGAACCATGAACACTCAAAGAACGCTTTGCATGCTTAAGGGGTTCTTTACATTGCGAAAGTGTTCCTCAGGTTGATGGAAAATGTGCTGTAGATGGTTCTGTATAGAACCTCCTTGAAAAGAGTTCTAAATAGCACCAAGAAGCTGAAGAACCTTTAACCATGCAAGTGTTCTTTGAATGTGTATATTTCTATATAGAACCATTTTCTTTACTAAAGAACCATCATGTATGTTAACACCACATTTGTTAACACACGGACAGATATTATGCCTGTACAAAAAGCCGTCTGAACCAAATGGAACCCAGTAGAACCCGACTACTAAGGTCAAGTTCCGACGTCATTTTCCAAATATGTCTCAGGCTTGGGTGAATTTTACATTCAGGTTCTCACAACCCGCCTCCCACTTTTAACAGATTTTACCTACATTTTCTCCTTCTCATACTTAAAAAAGATGGTTCTTCAAGGGTTCTTACAGAGCTATGGGTTCTAAGTAGAACCATTGTATGCTTAAATGGCTCTTTGTGTGGTGAAATCGTTCAGATTGATGGAGAATGTGTTATATGTGGTTAGTACCAAAAAAAGGGTTCTTCTGTTGTTATGAAGTTGACCTTGTAACCATACCAGAACTCTTTTTGGTGCTACATAGAACTATTTTCAAAAGGGTTCTATGAAGAACCATACACAACACATTCCCCATCAAACTGAACAACGATTTCACCATGCAGAGAACCAATTAAGCATGAAATGGTTTAAAATAGAACTCATGGTTCTAAAAAGAGCTACTGCCGTCACTATAGACCCCTTGGAGAACCATATTTTTTTCTAAACGTGTACTTTTACTTCTTAATTTATTCTTCACTACTTTCACCTTAAATTTTTTTATCTGGTAGGCTGGAGCACCGAGGCCTGCGCTCGACAGAAAACGAGACGTGGGCGTAAAACGAGAATCGATTCAGGAAAGGCCAGTTTAGTGCAGCCAGAAGAACGTTTGATTTGTTTGACCCAAAATATCTGTAGATGTTGAAAATGTATGTAACATGTCCGACGTGCAGAAATAGAGTTTTAGGATTTAACAGCTGAAGCTAACTTGCTGTATTAGGGTCATTCTACAGAAACGTCCATTTTTGTGTCCTAGCGTTTACAGATATATTACACTTCAAAAACATGTTAGGGTTACAATTTATTTATATTTTAAAATAAAACAATAAGATATTTTAACAGTTACACCTTCTTGAGCCTCAATTTAGCAATATTGGTTTTTAAATCAATCATATAGAATTCCAAGCACCACAGAAGAGCTCGTCCTCACAGTCATGTGTAAAGGCTGAGGCCATATTTTGAGGAAAAAAACACGTTTTAATGCAATTTTAACTAAAATAATCTATACATGACTGTGGAATATATGATTTAAATGACATAAAGAAAACAAATGCCAAATAAATATTATAAAATATATAATGAAAGTTGTTGTCCCCAGGAGTCGTGTCACTGGTGTTACTGCGTAACAAAAAATCTCTTATTTTGAAATAAAAGTCACACTGATGACATCACTTGACTTCTTTTACCTGTTTTCTGAGGATCTATGAAGAAAAGCACATGGTGAGTCCACTGTGTCTTTCAGTTATCAGAGATTTTCTCATTCAGCTCATGATTTCATATGAAGCTTTTAGCTGACGTCACTGGTGTGACCGACTTTATTCTTGAGTAATTGTAAAAAAATAGAATACAAATGGATTAAATTACATATTTTAGTGGATATTCCATGATTGACAACATGTGGTTTGATGCTCTGTAGCAGCCATTTTGTATAATTTGTATGTTTGTTTAAAAATGTCTCTGGTGTTACCTTTATTATGTGTAACACCAATGAGGATCAGTAACACCGGTGACTCCTATGGACAGATAGAAAAGTGGACGTTTCTGTAGAATGACCCATCAACACTGCACAGCATGAAAACAGCGCAATATGGAAAGTTTATCTAAAATGGAAAACGCTTGAGATGCGGTTCAAAGCGTTATTTGCTGAATACCTTTGTTAAACCCTTAAAATCTCAGGCTTATTACATACTAAAGTTTATTATTCAGTAACTACAGGGACTTCAGTGCAAACTGGCTGAGCTATTCTTAGGTTATACACAGTCGAGTTACATTATTATGACCACCAGCTAATATCCAGAGTAACCGCCGTGTGCAGCACGGACAGCAGCTAGACGCGCTGGGATTGACTCACTAAGGTCCTGGTAGGTTGTCACAGGTAACTGGAGCCATGCTGACTGCAGTGCATCCCACAGCTGCTGGAGGGGGCATGGGGGAGGATCCACGATTGAGGTGGTCCCACAGATGCTCAATTGGGTTCAAGTCTGGGGAATTGGGGGGCCAGGGTAGTACTTGGAAGTCTTGGTCATGCTCTTTCAACCAATGTCGGACATTTCTAGCCGTGTGATGTGTTGCATTGTCTTGCTGGAAGGTCCCACCCGCCCCAGGGAAGACAATCAGCATGTATGGGTGTACGTGATCAGCAAGGAAGGATTCATATCCAAATCGGTTGAGAGTGCCTTCCACATTATATACCCGCCAAGCCAGCTCACGACACGTGACTTCCTTCATGAGCTTGGCACTGCCACCGGTGAAAGTATGAAGTGGTCATAATAATGTGACTCGACTGTGTAGAAGTGTGTAATAAAACCTTGGGCCCACCGGCAGGACTTGGCCATTTAAGGGGTTAAAGCAGAATTAAAACTTAAACTTGGACGGCTGATTATTTAATTATATCACATTATTTTACATTATTTTTATTGATCTGGGTTGGGTCGGGCTTGGACAGAAATTTCTCAGGCTGTATTTGAGTTTGGACCAAATGTCAGGTCAGATTAAAGCTCAAAGTACACTCTTAAAAAAGATGGTGATTCAAGAGTTCTTTAGTAAAAAAAAAAATGGTACTATATAGAACCATGAACACTCAAAGAACCCTCTGCATCATGAAAGGGTTCTTCAGATTGATGGAGGATGTACATGAAAGTGCCATGGATAGTTCAGAAGAAGCACTCAAAAGAGTTGTTCTGTTGTTCCAAGCTTGACATCATAACAATAGAAGAACCCTTTTCTATATAAAGTCATCTACAGCACACTCTCCATCAGTCTGAAGAACGCTTTTATGATGCAAACAACCCTTTAATCGAGCAAAGGGTTCTTTGAGTGTTCATGGTTCTATATAGAACCATTTTCTTGACTAAAGAACCCTTGAAGCACCATCTTTTTAAAAAGTGTACAGTGTATGTTTTAGGACATCCTCAGACCTCAGTGTTAGGGTTCAGACACTCAGACAAAAACAACTTTGATCTCGGGGAAAACAATCACGAGTAAAATCACGTCTCAGCTCTCGTTTAGCAGATGAAACTGGCTGTTTCAAATGACCTCAGGTGAAATAGCTTCAGAGAAGAAGGCGTCAGGCTAAGCTAAGCAGCCTCAGATGGCAAAATATGTGTGAGATTCTTAATATTGTTGTTTCTTACTAGATTAATTATAGTTTTGTCAAAAAAATTAACGATGACAATATACGATAACTTTTACTGAACTTTTATTTCCCAGAGATCAAGCTTAAGCTCACACGCTATCACTGTGCTTGCTCCAGCGTACGCTTCAGTGTTAGGAAGTGTCACTAAATTAGAGACTAAATTGCTTTTGTTATTTCATTAAAAAAAAAAACACATCTTGGTTTAATACAGAGCCGGTTTATGAGGAGCCTGGCCACTTCCTATTTCACTTCCAGAGGGCGCCTGCGAGCAAGTCCTCAATGAATGGGTGTGAATCAAGCTAAACGGCTAAAAACGAAAAGTTAGAATAGTTTCTAATCACTCACCCAGAACTTTCCTTTAATTTTAGAAAGTAGAAGGATGTATTTCCCTAAAAAAGCAAAGAAAACTCGCCTGTATGTTTCCTTTTTTTCTACAGCAAACAGGTTTTGGGCAGCAGGATGCTAACATTATTACTGAGTGCTGATTGGTTGGCGAGTGGAGCAGCTCATTAGCTGTTGGCGCCTCATGTACGTTCATAACGTCAATGAGCGCCGTTTTAAACTCCTATAACTCGAGATTAAAAGCTCTTAAAAATATAACAGCAGTGTTAAAATGTTTTATGCTGTTCTGTGTTCAGGAAATGTTTGTATTCTTTTACATTATAAATGTTTCAGTGTTCATAAACTATGATTTTGCTCAAATGCTCCATCTTAACCCATTCAGTTTGGACTCGCTCGGGAGCGCCCTCTAGCATTTCAGAAAGACATTACAGAGGGGTAATTCTCCTCTCAGCAAGTTCTCTGGTTTAATGCTTTACTGCATTTGTTATCCACATGGTCATGGGAACCAGAGGACTCTGACAAACACAGGCCTACATTTCACGACGACTGGACCAACAAAAATGGTCCAGAAGTTGCTATAATCTTGTTACATTAACATATTTTTAAAGTTAATTTTTCTTTTTCCTGTTCAGTCACGATTTCGGAGATACAAGGTTTTCTTACGACAGCGACAATATCAGCAGCGAAGCACACAATGTCCACTCTATACTGACCCTACCCACTTTTAAGTGTGTTTGAGTGCAGACCAGTCACGGTGTCTGTTTGTATTTACGAGTGAAATGAAGACGTTTTGAATGTATAGACGCCATAGCATGAATTCGTCTCTGTGAACATGTTGGTGATGTC